TATAATATTACCTAATAAAATTTTTTTATATTATCTTTGATAACATTAGAATAACATGCGATTTTTATAATACTGATATATGAATAATATGTGACACATAAATAATATGTTGTTTTCGTTGAAATTTAGATTTTATATATAATAATATTAAATATAGATATTTCACGTTTTATTTTTTCATATTTTCAATAAACACTATATTTTTATCTTAAAAAGTCATCCTTTCAACATAAATTATATTTTTTATTAGAAACATCATCTTTATTAAAATTTGAAAAATATAATTTTCATGTTTTTAACAAAAATCGTGTTTTTATTTTTAAAACACATTTTTATTTAATTCTAAAAACTATATTTTTTATATTTTTAACAAAGATTGCATTTTTTATTTTAGAAACATTGTTTTTGTTGAATTCTGAAAAATAATTTTTTTTCATATTTTCAACAAAAGCTAAGTTTTTATCTTAGAAATTGTCTTTTCAATAAAGTTTTCATTTTCTATCTTAGAAACATTGTCTTTGTTAAATTCTGAAATTTTTTTTTCATGTTTATAACAAAAATTATATTTTTATCTTAGAAATATTGTCTTTTTAACAAATATTCTATTTTTTATCTTAAAAATATTGTTTTTGTTAAATTCTAAACAATAATTTTTTTCATATTTTTAATAAAGGCCATTTTTTTATTTTAAGAATGTCATCTTTGTTGAATTATGAAAAATAATTTTTTTTCATTTTTTCAACAAAAAATGTATTTTTAATTATAACTTTTGTGAGAATTTCAATAGCTTTGAATTAAAAAATGTGATCTTTGTTTAAAATATATTACGAAAAAAATCATTTTCATAATCTTTTATAAATAATTACTACGTTTTAAAGGTAAATAATGTTGTTTACATAATTTAAAAATATAATTAAGTGAGAGCAAATAGAAAAAAATTTTCATTTTCCCTCCAGAATTTTAAAAAAACTTTTGGGAGAAGAGATTTTTTTATTCCTTTACTTTCCACTTCTTGACACCGTTGAAAATCTTAAAAAACCCTAGTAAACGCCTAAACTTTATTACTTTCCTTTGAACTAAAGAATTAAACTACAAAAAGTAAGATTTTGAGAGAAAAAAATTACTTTTTTCTTAACCAAACACCTATTAAAGTTTATTTGCTTTATAGATCACATAATTCCTTTTATAGTAACAATTGTTAGGTTTAAAGTGACAAACATGATAATGCGAAAACAATATATTACAATAAACCTACACCAAAGAGAACAATTAATAATTGTTATAACGTATAAATTTATGAACCTATAACTAAACATAACTTTAGAAATCACCACTAATAATTTTTGTTATAAATGTTGGCCACTTAAATAAATCTATTCATATGAAGAAGTTTTAAGCTTTGCAAAAGGTTCTTAAAAAATAGGTTTTAATTTGTGTTTCAGAATTAAATCTAGGAGTTTGGTTACATATAAAAAAGATTATAGCATCCCCATATGTTCATCTAAAGACAGTATCATTTAATTTCATATTATCCTAATAATCTTGGATCTAATGGTTTTCTATTAGATATTAATGTCTAAATATTGAAAGAAATTTTTAAGATTTCTCTATTAATCTGATAAAATTTTTTAAAATACTTTCTCATATTAAAAGTATTCAAAATTTTCGTTTGTTTTATTGAAAAAGATCCGTCGTTGAATTGATTTTGATTAATTTATTGTTAATCATTGTTTTTATCTTAATTCACTCATTTTATTGAAAATATATAAACTTTCCACCATTTTGAAAATATTTAAAATTACTTTATCACTTAGAACTTTTTAAAAAAATCAACCACTTTTTTATTCCTTATGATTTCATTATTGAATTTACTTTATTCCTATTCCAAAATTTTATTCTTATTATTTCTAAAATTCTCTAAATTTTAATTTTTATTATTGTTTGAAAACCAATATCAATATTAAAATTTTACCTAAAATTTCCACCATTTTAGAAAATTAAAAAAAATTCTTATTTTAAAATTTTTAGGAATTCAACCATTCTTGATTTCTAGAATTTCATTATTTTATACTTCCATTTACTTTTTAAAAATTCTAAGGTTGTTACTTTTTATTATTAATAAAAGACAAATGATAATTATTATTATTAAATTTTTATTTAAATTAATTTTTACCATTCTGAAAAATACTTAAAAAGAACCTTTTACTTAAAAATTTATAAAAATAAACCATTCTTGACTTTTAGACTTTCACCTATTTACTTGCTGCACTTTTGAATATTTTTAAGCAACTTGTTTAACAATATTCTTTATTAATGTTTAAACATATATCTTGTTTAAAGGAATACAATCATGCATATAATAAGATAAATAAGAATATAAAAAAATATACCTTGGGCCTTGAATTTCAACCCACCAAGAAAAAGGATGGACTACACAAATATGGAATGGGTCTGCAAAACTAGATTAGACTGATGGTTGGATCGGGTCGTGAGTTTCAAACCAGGTCAGATGACCCAACTAGCATTATTCCCAAAACAATGTAGTTTTGGTCTGGTATAAAATTCCCAATTCTTCTTTTTTCCTTCACTTTTCCCTCCTTTCCTTCTTAGGAATTCAGTTTCACTACTCTCTTTTCCCACGATCTTCGGCCGCTGCTACTAGTCTTTGTGCCACCGTCGGCCGGAGTCAGTTAGAGCCTCAAGCTTGCACGGCCTCATTGTTTAGAATATAAGCTCGGATTTTCGAAAATCCTCCTCAAATGCCCTAGATCTGAAGATGAAGTCGTGGCCTTCCACCACCGTTTTAGTTTCTTTTCGTCATTCGATCAGGCCGATCTTTGCGTATGTTATTTTATTCTTAATGCTCTTCGTGTTTGTGGTTTCAATTCCCCATAACCACACCAACCGCCGCCAACCACCACAGCTGCTGTCGCTATTCCACTGTTTTTTGCCTCAAAGCACCGCTCACAATTCCCTTCCTTCTATTCTTACCTTCTTCCTCCTCACAGGATGGGATTCCCCAGAGTTACCGCGCCAAAACCCCGAAAGAGACAAGGAGAACACTGCCAACCCTTTTTTGATTATTTTCTGCTTGTTGTGTTTCGTTTGTGCTTGGTTATTGCTCGAGATTTCTATTGATTGTGCTGGGTTTTGAGCTTTCTGTGTAATTATGGTTTTGATAATTGTTAGTTACCGAGGAATTTTGGCTATTGATTATTGATTGTACTGTATTATTGGGTTGCTACTTCTAAGTCCGGTAGCAATGGTCGAATGTGGTAGTGCTCGGCAATGACTATGGGGTGTGATAGTTCTTTGCATCTGTGTGATTGCTGGTAGTATAGGTAATAGTAGAGTGATAGTGGCAACAGAAATGGTGGATGGTGTTGGTAGTGTCGTATAGTAGTTGAATAGGAAGTAAACACTGGTCGTTGAGTCTTGCCATTTTGGTTGCCGATTGTTGGTTGTTTAAAAACAAAATAGTATTTGTTGCAATGAAACTCTATGCCAAAACAAAGTCTCAATTTAAAAAAAAAATCGTATCACATTATCAATCCAATCCAGTTATCTATAAAAGACTATCTTCAAACAAGTAAACTCCCTTTTTCTAATTTTCTATTGTATTATTTTTTTATTTTTTATCAAAAATAAAACTATAAATAAACAAATACAAGCAAAAAAGCAAAACAGATAAATTAAACACAAACATAAAAATTTGATCAAATACAAGCTTCAAGATTCAAAAACATATTCTAATATGTTTATAAAGGATTTCAACTTTAATTTTTACTATTCAAAATGTAAAATATTAAATTATAAATATATTGATAAATTTTTAATTCAATTAAATCACGAATAAACTTTTATTCAACCTCTTAATCAAACTAACAATTCAACTTTCTTTTTCTTTTTCCTCTCATCCAGCGACAATTTTTTTTTCCTTTCATGTTTCATATATAAAGTAGAGCTTTCTTTCGGTTGAAAAGAAACAAAGGCTTTTAGGTTTTTAAGATAATGAAAGTATGGGGCTGGAACCCAAACATAAATAGAATTACATCTAAATATTCGACTGTCTAACCATGCTGTGATTTGCGAATCCAGAACAAATTTCATGCTGCAAATTATTGACGATGGAACATCACGACTCATAGGAAACGTGCGGCCGCAACACAAACAGTATTCGAGCTTGAGGCAATATATATCTTGCTAACTTTTCTTTCACCTTTTTTTTTCCCTTATCTTTCATGCTCTGTTTCCTTACTAGTGTTGCCAGAATTAAGATTGTGGTGGAAGCGTGATGATTATGTATAACATATTATTATATTCTCCGACCAAATCAACATTCATTTCTACAAAACACTGCCTGAGGATAAGATATCATTAGGAGGAGATAATTATAAGAGTATCACTGACGCAAGCAACGAAGTCAACTGTGGGGGACGGTGGATAAAAGAATCAGGTGCTTATTGTCGCATATAAATAATTTCATGGTTATTATAAATGTACTTAGAATACTCTTGGAAGGGTCGACCTTAACAACTACTTTGCATTGGATTTTTTGAATCCTTTTTGTGATAAATTTTTTTTGAAGTTTTAACATACTAATCAGAATTTTATAATTTGTAAATAAGTGAATGCAGTCCGTAAATTTCGACGATGTTATAAATAAATATTATATTAATTAATAAATTTATTACTTAAATATTATATTAAAATTTTTTTAAATTTAAATATCATATTAAATATTTAAATCATTTACGACATTAACCTTAGTTAATATCATAGCTGACTTCTTTCATCTAAGTTGGCCTAACTCTGCCAAGCATATTCTGTGCATATATATTTGACAAGGCATATTCCTTAATAATTTAAACCCATGTCATTTTTGTGATAACAATCTTCGATTACTTGACGAGATGGACATCTCCACAATGCTAGGCTGTCCCTGTCAAATATATCCTACACTTTGCATTGCATTTGAGAGAGGTTTGAACTTTGGAGTTTAGCTAATTAAAAAGGATACCATTGTCAAATCAAATTTTAATTGTTAAATTTTGTTTTCAAGAATTTCATTCCTAGAGGATAATGCCAGTTGCTTTGTTGCCAAACTTACAATAAAAAAGAAGGGATACTCATACTTAATGAATGCTGCAGCAGCTGTGTCTCCACTTGTGAAAGAATTTGATGTCAAAGTGGATGCTTATATGCTTTGAGCTAGAGGGACTTGTCCCAGATTCCAAACTGATATCCCAATTGAAAGAGCAAATAGCAACAAACAATGGGTCAGATACTATAATACTTCATGAAACCAAATCCCAGTTACTGTTTTCTCAACCTGTATAGGGTAAATTACAATAGCTTGATTTCCTTCAAACTTGGAAGAAATCTAAGAGTTACAAACCTATAAGCTCATCCTAAATTATTTTCAGTCTTTACAGAAATTTTCTAAAAAATGTTATAAAAAACAGGGGTTGCCTTTTACATGGGAATTTGCAAGGAAATTCCCAGAAGCGAAATTTCATTTTCAAGATATTGGAAATGTAAAAGTTGTGGTAATAATCATAAGGGTAAAATGGGAAAGAAAGGTGGAATTGAAATTTCCAAAGCTTACTCTGCAGCTGACCTCTCCGTATATATATACAAAGACTAATGCTTATGCACAAAAACCTAGTACTATAATATTTTTATTTTCTTTATATTATACTAAAATTTCAGTTCTTACCCTCAAAACCCAATTTTTTTCATCTCTTTGCTTCTACAAAACTGAATAGTCCCTTCAAAATTCCAATCCCCTGTATTTTCCTTCTCCACTCTGTTTTATATTCGTAGTTTCAGTTGTGAAACTTCCATTTGAGAGAGATATATATACATTTAGTTGGAGAGAATACTAAAGAAAAACAGAGGGTTAACAAAAACTTGGTTTTTTTTTCATTTTTTGTTTCATTTCTTGTTGGAGAGCAATCTCCAGAGAGAGAGAGAGAAAAAAAAAGAAAAACAAAGAACGTAAAGAAAGAAAAAGTTCTAATCTTTTGACAAAGGGAAGAAGAACCCAGAACCAAAAATACATTATCTTTTTTGTTTGGTTTTTATAAAAGGTGGGTATGAGGTTAAACGGGGAAATCTATGATGGAGAAGATAGGGAGGAAGGGGAGCAAAAGCTGGTTGTTGGGTATGCTTTGACATTGAAGAAGAGAAAGAGTTTCTTGCAACCCAACTTTGAGCGCTTGGCTCGGTATATTACTCAGTACTCAAATATCCACTTTTCGTTTTTATTTATCTCACTTTGTTTTTGTATCTAATTAGATGTAAATAATGCCTTCATCGTTTCTTCTTTTAGTTGTATGATTTTGATAGTATTGCATTTGGGTTTAGTCATTTCTATAGCGTTTTTATGAACATGGATGTCATAGATTATAAATTCAATGCGTTTTGAGTTTGGTTGTAATTGACCTTTTCTTTTATCTTTGATGCTTCAAAAAACCTGATTTTTTGGTGGCAGGGGATATGGCAATATGGCATAGGTTGGTAGTGCTACAATTATGTGGGTGCAAAGATGATCCATGCAAATCAAGTTTTGCAACTGTTTTTGCTTGGACCTAACATGTCAATTACACTTATGGCGGATCAAGAATCTTGGCACATTTTCTTGATTTTCTAGATGGGAATATTCCACCACATATACCACTTGGATTAGTTGTTAGGAAGAAACACAAAGTCAATCTTTGTTGCTTTTTCCGTAGTTAAAAAATCAAGTTAGACAAAGTTTTTCTTCCTTTCTTTGCTTGGAATATTTATTTATCCAATTGTCCTTCAATTTTCCATCAATTGTTGCATGGTCTCATGTTAACCTATGTCAAATGTTGTCATGCATCCGATGGTTCCTTTATTAATTTTACTGTACCGGAACTTTCTGCTTTCTTTATTTCTGTTTATCATGTACTGATCATCTAAATAAACTATGATGCATTTGTAGAGCAGGCTATTGGATGTTTTGCTCAGATACTTTGTTTACGGATTATGTTTGTCACTACAAGTGTGGTGGATTCCCAAAACCTGATTTTCACATCCTTTTATTTTCCATAATTTTTTTATTCATGGTGGCAGTTTTCCTTTCGTGTTCAAATACAATAGGCCAAACTTTGCTCTAAAGGGCATCTATATATGCCTGATATATATCCATAAAAAATTCTAAAGGATTCAAATTTGTTAATCCTGAATTTAGTTTAATAATTAGTGGAAGGGCTCCTTTGGTCTTTAATTATAACATCTCATGGAGGCATGCGATTTAACAGATTGCCATTGTGTTGGAACAAACAAAAGAGAAATTATTGGATGTTTCTCTTGGGTGCATTATTAGTTGAGAAAGGAAGTTTTAGTGTTCTAAAAGTTTCCAAGAGCTTTATACATTCAAGAATGATTATTACAATATCTTTGTGCTTGGTGCAGAAACAAGGGGATATCTTTTGTCGCTATTGATCAAAACAGGCCATTATCAGATCAAGGTCCTTTTGACATTATTTTACACAAGGTTAGTATGACTGCTTCTCTGAGACTCCTTCATATTATCCCTTTGAAATTGTTGAAAGATGATTTTGAGTTTGTAGGCAGAATTTAGGTTTAACATTCTTAGTTTTCTTTTTTCTCTGTATATATTGCAAACCATATTTTCAACTCTCAAGTATATGACTGATGAGCCTTATGCTGCTTCCAGTTGTTGGGAAAAGAGTGGTGCGAGATTATTGAGGTTTGTCTTGCCAAGCTCGTCTTTTCATTTATTCATTTTACATTGCATAAGGAATTGAATATGTGGTGCTGCATTTTCTTGAGTTACAGCTCCTTCTGTGAATTGATGCCATACATTCCTGCTTGGAGATAAAACATGGACTGGCTGTGATTGGTTGAACAACAAATCTCTTTAACATCAAAACTTAGTTTTCTGACATAATGCGCAGAATTCTTGCTCTCCTTATTTTGAATCTTGATCACATAGTTGAAATTGGTATTCTAAAGATTGGAACAAATGTGAGGATTTTTCATTTTGTGATTACTGTAGGTAACTGGTGTGGGACTGCCTGTCTTGGTTAAGGAAAAAAATGGGTTTCTTTCATCACTGATGTGGTTGGAGAACATTTATTTGGCTTAATTGTAACTAATCTTTTGTAATAACAATAGTAGGGCAGATGTCACATTTGCATTATCCTTTTTGACCTAAAATTTTAACAATTTATTGTATTATGATGTCTACTATTTAAAAAAATTGCTTCATTTCTTGAAATTTCAAATTTTTAAAAAGCATGTGGGTTGTTCATCTTGAATTTCCAACAAACACATTTAGTGCACGTTACTCATTGTATCAAACTATTCGAAAACCACATTTCATCAAAATTGTGGAACTGACTTTTGCCAATATCAGATCTGTGTTCTAAAAATAATATCAAAATTGACAGGAACTTGTTTTTTCTTTGATACTTGTTCTTTTTCTCCTGATAATTTTTTCATTAGAAATTTTGTGATACCATGCTTTTTTTTTGGTAATTTTTCATTATGTAAGCAGTTATTGTGCTATCTGAATCAATTTCTGTGGCATTTATAATTGTGCTGCTGATGGAGATATTTAACAACTAATCATATTGTAAGAACTTGCAGAATGGCTGACCTGTAGTTTATCCTTGTTGAGGTTTATGAACTTACCAAAGTGGATCACATATTTATGTTAACTCACTGCCAGAGCCTGGACAGCTGGCAGATATTATCCCACCTGAAACATGTCTTGGAAAGGATATTTAACTGGCGATTTCTTTTCTTATTGCTTTTTCCAATTTAAGTATTCATTTTGGGCATCATCTGTCATATGTATCTTGTGCCCCATTACATTTTTACCTGCTGGATTTTAAGTAGATCAATTTGATGGAAACCTATCTTTTACCTTTTTGTCACTTATGTTTTTAGTTTTTTAAAATTCTTTCAGGTGGCACTATTACTATCTCATCTTGAACCTTTATTTTTATGATGTGTACTTAGCTTCTGATCTTATTATACCATAGGAGCTTGTTCTTTTTTCTAACACTGAACAAGCTATAAATAGTTGTCTATTCATTACTAATGGGTAAAAGATGATTTGTTTGAATTGCCCAACAAAAGAACCTGCTTCAAATTGCTATATTAGTTATTCATTTAACACCTCTGCCTGATTGATCGTGTAACATTTATTCCCCCCGTTTAAATGAATATTTTTGGTGTCTCTACGACTCACAAAGTGATTATGTAGGAAATGGGTAAATTCGATCTGGAACTTAAAAGGAGCCATTCATCATCCAATAGCACCAACGATTGCCAAATGGAACTGCTCAAAAACTCTTTTCTCTCTTTTTTACTTTTTTTTTGGAGTTGTGGCCTGCTGTAAAAATATGTCCTAGTTTCTATTATCTTTTTCTGTGAATATCTTTGCTCAGGCAATCCATTTCATTCTCCTCTTTTATTCTTGAAGGATTATAGACAAACACAACCACAAGTAATTGTTCTTGATCCTCCAGATGCGATACAACATTTATACAATCGCCAGTCAATGCTCCAGAATGTGGTTGATTTGAACTTGTCAGACTTCCACGGTAATTGTGGTCCACTCTATTGAACTCCGGAAATTTTTAGACCTTTTTCCTTGAAACTTTTGTTCAAAACTACAGAAATAGCCAAATAGGAAACATGGTTGCTTGGTAATTTTTGCCAATGGCTATTTGTTATTGTAGGCAAAGTTGGTGTTCCAAGACAAATGGTTATTACAGAAGATCCTTTATCCATCCCTGATGAAGTTACGAAAGCTGGGCTGAAATTGCCCTTAGGTATATTTTGTTTCTATTTGTTTGGTTTTGGTGGTTTACCTCTATGTCTGGTTTAAAATTCAGACACCATTTTCCCTTTAATAGTACAAAATCAGCATATCACCAACACTAGGCTGTTAGATAAGAATAGCTGGATATCACCAAGAGAAATTCATCAAGATTACCTAGTGTTGGCTATTATTGGATTCTTTTTGTGGTGTATTCACAGATACTAAGAAACTTTGTGCATTAAGTGTGGGGGGAATTTAATACCAATTTGTGTTATTATTCATTTTTTAGATGGTGATTCAGTATTATAATTATTTCTAATGATTTCTTCTGTTGATCAATTTATAAATATCCATGTTTTATTTAATTGTTTCAGTTGCTAAACCACTAGTAGTGGATGGAAGTACCAAGTCACATGAGCTGTTTCTTGTATATGATCAGTTCTCTCTGTCTGAACTTGAGCCTCCTTTGGTTCTACAAGAGTTTGTTAATCATGGTATATTGTTGCAATGGATTCATGAACCTTACCATTTCCTTTCTAGCCATCTTTATACTAATTATTTGAAAAATAATCTATGTTTTGTCTTATCATAGGTGGTGTTCTTTTTAAAATTTATATTGTTGGGGATGCAATTAAGGTTGTAAGGCGCCACTCTCTGCCCAATGTCAGCAAATGTGAGCTAGCAAAAGTTGCTGGTATTATTCCTTTTCCAAGGGTTTCATCTGCTTCGGCTTCTGCTGATGATGCAGACTTGGACCCTGGCGTTGCTGGTGAGTGATTGATATGTGATGTGCATATTTGCGCTCATTGTATATGAAATTCAAATTAAATTTTCCTTCATACCTTATATGGTTATTCTTTGGTTTGATTGTGAAGCGCTTATGAGGGTTCTGTCTGTCTGATTGTGTGGGTATAATTACAGTTGTGTTTGTACTAATATATCATTCTTGTTGCAGAACTTCCTCCTCAACCTTTGCTGGAGAGGCTTGCAAAGGAGCTCCGTCACCGGCTGGCAAGTTATTAATTTCACCATATCAAGCTACGTGGATGAAGTTATATAATTTTAATTAGTTAATACAGTTAAGAGTTATACATTCTGTGTTTTACAGGGCCTTCGGTTGTTCAATATAGACATGATCCGAGAGCATGGGACAAGAGATGTCTTTTATGTTATTGACATTAACTACTTTCCTGGTAAGTGGTTGAGGGAAGACGTGTATTTGTGCCACTTGATTAGACTATAAACCTGTTAAATAGTAAGAATTGATAATATTTTCAAGTCCCTTACTCCATGCATGCTTTGATTAGCATCAGTGGTTAAACAAGTTCTTTGCACTGCTCTTTCAGGGTATGGAAAAATACCAGATTATGAGGACATCTTTACAGATTTTCTACTGAGCTGCGTACAGAGCCAGTACAAGAAGAGGCCTGGTAATTAGTTGTTAGATATTATTGACCGTACATGATTTTTTTTTCATGCAAGTGTGGCTTGGACGATTGAAGAACCGTCAAAACTGAAATTCTTTTTTAACTTCTGTAATTACTGACCGGTATGAATGCCCTTTGCTCAAGTTACCAATGTGTATGGATGGTTTTGATACCATCTTACCCGATAATAATTCTGAGCAAAATGGCAGGTTTAACTGTCAGTAACATACAACAGTTTTATTTTTTTCGCACTTAAATATCCTTTTCATCATTGTTTTGTTTACTTCTTTTTCTTTAACACCTACATGTTCCTCTTGTTTTGTATGAAATGATTGGATTACAAGTTTCCACTTGTGTATTATGAATTCATGAATCCTGGGCAAATAAAGAGTTGGAAGTTGAATTAGTGAAGAGTAGAATAATATCAAATTCCATTTTGCAAGAAGAAAAATGTAGACATTCCAGGCCGACGATTATTAGTACCATCAATCAATCTTCTTTTCATTCAGCTCAGGTCAGGTGATGAACGTAACTGGTAAGTTTTCAAGTACCAAGTGTTCAGTCCAAAGACTGATTTTCTCTTTAATATGTAGAGTATTTAATTAGAATATACGAAACTCACGTATCCATCTCTCGTTAGTATTACCTCATTTAATTTTTTTTAATGGTTTCTTAACTCACGTGTCACGACATGCACCTCTGCAATATCAATCGGACTAATCTCTATACATGGCCAGAGAGACTAGCGACATTAGAGAAGAAAAAAAAAATCTTTTAAGTCCATAAAATACAGCTATGTGCATGCTACATACCAATATACATTTTTTTCTTCGGTTCACATCTGATCTTGCGATACGTTTGTTGCGTATTCTGAATGAAACTGGTTGATCCGATCTTTAAACTATCAAAGATTTTCAGTTGGTTTCCAACTAACTTCACTGTCAGGAAGTTCTTTTCACTGCACTAAATGCTCTTACTTTGGTCTGTTATTCGGTCGTCTCAGAATCCTGTCAGTTAATTTGCACTGAACCTTTTAATTTTTTTTATTTATATGTTATGATTTTTTTTATAAAAAATAATAATTAAATTGTATTTTTTTATAATTGAATGATTAAAATAAAAAAAATCTAAAATTAAATGTTGAAATGCGTAAAATTTTTTTTTTTTACATGTTTGATTGTAGCTAATGTTGAGAGGAAAATTTTGGAAAAGTATTTGTCGGGCTAATTAAGGCCCTAAAACGTGACATGGTAACGAATAACGATCATCGACCGTGATTAGGCTTCCAAGTCAACGGAAGGAAGAGAGAACCAAAACCAACGATCTCTGTAAAACAAAACGACAAAAAAATAAATAACAAAGAAAAATGACGAAAGTAAAAAAAAAAGGAAAAAAAAAAGTCAAAATAAAACCACGATAAACACGGGGAGCTGCACTACACTTGTCCAAATATAAACTGCGCATCCCCACTTCTGTCGACTGTCTCAGAAAACGTGCGACTGTTTTCCCATTTTCGCTCTCTAATGGGAACTTCTCTGCAACTACATAGTCTCTGCACCCGTACCGGTTCCGATAATTTTGGCGGAAGAAATGTAGCTCTCCCTTTCCGGAAGCCTATACCGTCAGATGCTCAGGCTATTCCGCTTCTTCCTCTTCCGTACCTGTGGATCCCGATAACTTCGATGCCAAGGCTTTTCGACATAACTTTACGAGGAGCAAGAATTATAATCGGAAAGGATTCGGGCACAAAGAGGAAACTCTCGAGCTCTATCGAGAGTACACTAGTAAGTTTTGCACCAAATAAAATCGCGCTTTTTTTTTTCCCTCTCTTTTTCCTATCTTTATTGAGAGGGTAAAAAAAGGCTTTAATTTGAATTTTGGTAAAAAGTTTTGTCTTTTCACAAAATTTTCAGGTGATATCATAGAGAAATTGAAGAACAACAGAAACGAGTACACATGGGGAAATGTTAAGGTGAAATTGGCAGAGGCATACGGTTTTTGCGGGGGAGTTGAGAAAGCTGTCCAAATTGCTTATGAAGCCAGAAAACAGTTTCCTGATGAGAGAATTTGGATTACCAATGAAATTATCCACAATCCAACTGTTAATAAGGTCTATCCTTTGCTCTTTTCTCTACTGCTAGTTTTTTTCACTCAGTTTCTATGATATAATGATAAAATGTTGTTGGGTTTGTTGGTTTCTTTACATAAAGATAGGTTTTTTTTTTTTTTTTTTTAATGCAGCGGTTACAGGAGATGAAAGTTAAATATATTCCTATTGAAGAAGGGAAGAAACAGTTTGATGTAGTGAATAAGGGTGATGTTGTGCTTTTTTCTGCTTTTGGAGCTCCAGTAGATGAGTTGTTGGTTTTGAACGACAAAAATGTGAAAATTGTTGACACAACTTGTCCTTGGGTATCAAAGGTATTTCCTTCCAACAGTAATCTGCTGTCATAACAACTAATTCCTTGCAATTCTTTAATTATTTTTTGTTGCAGCTTTCAGTGTTCCGATCAATGAGTTTTTTATTTCTTTTGATGCTGAAATGAATTCTTTCTATGAAGTTTTGGAACACTGTAGAGAAGCATAAGAAAGGAGACTACACTTCAATCATTCACGGTAAATATTCTCACGAGGAGACAGTCGCAACTTCATCGTTTGCTGGAACATATATCGTTGTGAAGAATTTGACTGAGGTATGTCCTAAAGTGGCTAGTATTCTGTTTTCTTGTGGTATCTTATAAATAATATATATATATATATATATATATATAGGAGGCTGCAACTTTGGCATGTCCTTTATTTTATTGAATAAAAATTGTTTGTTTTCATGTTGTCTGATTTGTGAAGGCAATATATGATTGTGATTACATTCTTGGAGGTGAACTTAATGGATCTAGCTCCACCAAGGAGGCATTTCTGGAGGTTTGGTCTTTGTTTCTTATTTTCTTCATATGTAAAATGTAATAAGCATTGTGCAAATGTTCAGATGATTATTGTCTCTTTTGCAGAAATTTAAATATGCTACTTCAAAGGGATTTGATCCAGATCACGACCTAGTAAAAATTGGCATCGCAAATCAAACTACAGTGCTGAAGGGAGAGACAGAGGAAATTGGTTAGTGGCACTTATGCACTTATTATATATCACTTCTTGTTTTCAAGGAATTGCTACTTGACACACATTACATTTTGGTTTAATAGGAAAATTAGTTGAGAGGACAATGATGCAAAAGTATGGAGTGGAAAATGTCAAAGATTGCTTCATAAGCTTTAACACAATCTGTAATGCAACACAAGTAGAATGAATGTGACAGTTTGGTTTTCACGACAAATTTGTGAATATATTTTCTTATGGAAGACTTTACAGCATATGCTGCTTCTTGTGTTCTACCCCTCAACTGATTGCATACTAATTTTTGTGTTAGTCATTGAATTAAAGCTGATTTATCATATTTTTTCAGGAGCGACAAGATGCAATGTATAAGTTGGTGGAGGAAGATCTGGATCTTATGTTAGTAGTTGGTGGGTGGAACTCAAGTAACACCTCACACCTTCAAGAAATTTCAGAGGACCAGGGGATTCCCTCATATTGGATTGACAGCGAACAGAGAATAGGTCCAGGAAACAGAATAGCTCACAAATTGAAAGTAAGTCTGAATGCAAAGTAATCCAGTTCTTGATCAACCTCTAGTTTTCTCAGCCTAGAAAAAAAGGGTATTCTCATTGCAATTTTTTATTCTAATTATGTGAATGCTGTGTTGTACCAGCATGGCGAGCTGGTTGAGACAGAAAACTGGCTACCAGAGGGTCCCATCACAATTGGTGTTACATCTGGTGCCTCCACACCAGATAAGGTAATTCTCTTTCATGTGACAATTTTTGATTCTTTATATCTATTATATACTGCATTCTAAGGCTTTGCTTGGTAGGATAGAAAAGTGAGAGGAAAAATAAGAAAGATGGTCATTTTTCATTCTTATTTGTCAAAAACAAAATTTTCCAAATTGGAAAGATAAAGATAGAGAAAATGGAAGTGGTCTATGTCAAATGTTGCATATCTACAAGAATGTCCATCAATATTTATTTTTTTATCTCAACTTATAAAAAGTATAATGGTAAAATAATATAACTTTTATTATCTTTTGTTTCATTTTTCAACTTTCAACTTTACCAAGCAATTGATGGAAAAGAAATTTTCTATCAACTTTCTCATCTTTCCAACCAAACACACCGATAGAAAGAGAAAATATTTTTAATTCCATCTTCATTCTTCTCTTCCAATTTTCTATCTTTTCATTTTTCTATCCACTCCACAAAGTAAGGCTTAAATGTTCTATATTTGTCGTATAAACTGATTTTTTTTCTTATAACACCTAAACAGGTTTATATCATGTAAATTTTTTTTTGTCTGATGCCATTAACCAGGTTGTGGAAGAGGCTCTATTCAAGGTGTTTGACATAAAGCGCGAAGAAGCCTTGCAGGTAGCATAAATATAGGTTGCATCAACAGTTGATGCCCATTTGATATTACAATCTTGTCAATGTATGCTTAGAACAGGGGACTTTTTGTCTTAGGATCAGACAGTGTAATCGCATGTACCCTTGTGTTGTAACCATATATGATAGAAATGTTTTATGGATGTATGTAAGTTTTCAGTACTCCTTTCACAGTCTCACAGATCCTGACCTGGGTGAAGAGTCGTGTATCAGTTCAGTTGTCATGTTTTTCAAATACCCTGCCCGCGCACATATCACTGAAGGTTTTAGTTGGATTCTGTTTTTCTTCCAAGAGAAATTTAAATTGATGTAAATCCGACGAAGCAACATGGAGTTAACCGAAGTTTCTTTTAAGATACTCCTCTCCCGTTCTAACTTAAGCATTTATAGGGTAAAAGCAGATTTGATAATTTGTATCATCATATCGTATAAAATATTATATTTATGTTATATTTTATATAAAAATTATGTGTTATAATTTGTATCGATATAAAAATATAAAATAATTTTTTTTATTTTATTAAATTTATTTATGATTTTTTTAAAATTTTAAGTAATATTAATTTTTTATTTGTATTATTTTTATATTGTGTTATATTTCAAATTGTTAGATATAAACAAAAATAACTTGACATAATAAAATTATGTTGTATTTTAAATTATCATAATGTGATATGATGAAGTGTTACTAAACTTTTAATTTCAATAATCAGTACAAATCATGAAATCTAAAATACCTAAAAAACTTAAGCATTGAAAAAGAGGGTAGTTTTCAATTTCTATCTAAAAAAGTGACAGGTTCGAACCAAAAAGTAAAAGTTTAAATCAAGAGTCCAACTGCGTGATTTACTGATGAAATCCTTTTACAAGAAGTTAGCAACAAGAGATGAAAGTAGT